TACTCTGAACGTTAGATGCTTTTAGTTGAAGTCAACATAAAGCAGGTTTTCACCCACTCAGCAGCCACTGCTACTACGAAGTTTGCAAGTTTGTTAAGTGTCTGAAGCCACATGCCACTCATCAGAACATCAGTCCTAACAAATAAGGACACCGCTGTACTTAAGCTACAGCCCCGGACTCCTCCCAGGCAGGAAGATAATTCCAACTTCGCGAAGCTACACGCAACGGATGCAGACATGGATCCACTTTACTGGTTACCGGATGGTTCACAGTCCAAGACCAACACACCAAGCAAACCATCCTTAGCACCACCCTGTTCTCCTTATGATGGAGGCAGCAAGGACCTCTGAAACGTTGGCACACTTCTATTAGACTACACGGCGCCACAGCCCAGACGACAGCCATCATCGGATTCTGTGCCGTGTAAACCTAAAATACCACGTTTTACAATAATACAAAACAAGGGTAAAATTGTAGTTCTATATTACGGTCTCAGTCAGCACAACTTTTGTAGGTTCCAGCCGATTGAAGCAGAAAACCTGCATAACGCCAGCTACCAGTTCCATTTCGTGAAATGCTTCAAACATAAGCCACTTCTCAGTTTAGTCCGAACATTAATTTTGTTAAATATATATTTATTATCTCAGTCTATACACAAACGTATTTAAAATGTTGTTGTTAAAATTTTATATAACACTATAACATCTGTAGTATAAAATATTACAATAAGTTATATTATATTATATTATGGCGCTTTTATCGTAGTATAATGTTACATTTATTATGGCGCTTATTATTAATTGCACGACATGTTTCGATGTTTTATGACATCATCTTCAGGTTTATATCGTCGTTTTTATCATTTTAAAACTATTATATACTTCGATGCAATGTATAGACTGAGATAATAAATATATATTTGATTTCAACACAAACATGACGCAACTTAAGCTACAAATTAATTTTGTTGCATCTTATGTATACATATATTCACGGATAAAATAAATAAATGCGCACTAATAATGATGATAACAGTTTAATAAAAGTTTCACATCATATATCAATTTATATACGACTTAACATCAGTTTAAGGCGCCTTTTGGATAAAGTGAGAGTCTTCACGGTAATAAAACACTGGAGTCACAGCTGCAGTTGCGAGGCTACACGCTGATTCTTAGCGAAACACGTGAAGGGTACGAACGTCTGTATAGGTTAGTTTCACTGCCACTTTCGTCTATAAAAAAAACTGTACAACGATAACAGAATGTCGAGTGGGCTTGAATAAAAATACGTCGTCAAAGAGAAGTTAAGAGCAAAATGAGAAAACAAAACAAAAAAAAACAAATTACTAGAGAAGAAAACACTTTCATATGTAGACAGCGGTGCCTATCGAGTACTGGACGGGTGTAGGACAACTGGAAACACAAAGATTTTTATACTATCTCGAAGATTCGGGCTAATTCGTTCCTCCGAAACATTGGTAATCAGCCACAAGGCTGTGTGGCAACTCAGAATACCAAAAATTCACACTTTTATTCTAAAAGCCATAAGGAAACACAAAGGAACACAGATAACAGATAATTCGCAAACAGGTGGGTTTGTAGTTCTCATAAATTACAGACGTATTTAATTTATTGGAAAATACGTAACATACAAGCCACCATATTCAAGGATAGAAATCGTGGCAGTACGTTCCTCAAGAACGTTGGTACGTCACAAACCAGAACAATGTCCGACTTGAGGTTCTCACAGCGGTGAGTATGAAGATTTCTGTCTTCTGGGTTATTGCGCTGTGTAGTCTGGTCGATGTTAACCAACGTTTCAGAGGTCATACTGCCTCCGGCAGTATGACCTCTGAAACGTTGGTTAACATCGACCAGACTACACAGCGCAACAACCCAGAAGACAGAAATCTTCATACTCTGATGACGGAGGCAGTATGACCTCTGAAACGTTGGTAGACATCGACCAGACTACACAGCGCAAGAACCCAGAAGACGGATATCTTCAGAACAATGTCGCCCTCACTGAATAAGAATGCTCCTTTATGTATCGATTGAGAAACGTTGCATACACTGACAACTGGAATAAGTACCAGAGACATTTCCACGGCCTGCGTTACAGCAAAGGATTCATGTTGTTCGCTAAAACAACGAAGAGAAAGGCTCGCGTTCACTGCCAATAACACATAGGCCTATATTCCGCAACAGAGATCCTTCAAAGTGAAACAAAACCCCCCCGAAGCTCACAAAGGCAGTGGAACTGTTGCAGTATATAGCGCAAATGTAATTAGCAAGAGAAAAAGAAGACCTACGCAATTAATACAGCAGACAATGTGTTCTGAAAGACAAATTCTAACAGACCGGCGAGGGGCAGGGACTACATACGTACCTTGTTTTTTTTAAAAAAATGTTGCGCTGAGTGCGTTCGACAAAAAAAATACTCCGTGTAATTGCTTGGTAAAACAAGCCTAGATCGTTACAAAGGGCATGAAACCTGATTAGTTCGAACAAATGTACCGCGCGCGGGGATGTTTTGTATGTGTCTGTTCAAAACTGGAGCAAAGCAAATTGGATTCATACACAACTCCGCTAAATAATCTAATCTACGTATTTATTTTAACTGGATGTCTAGGGCACACATTTCGCAACATTTTTGCGTGCTCCTGCCGTGGGGTGGGGGCTGTTTATTTTCCCAACTAGCAAAACCTCTCGTCTCTCTCTCTCTCTCTCATATCCCACGAAACAGAAGTAAAAGAGGTCATGGAGGAAGTGCGCTGTAGTGGAAGTGAGAAGAAGGTTCGTGCACAGCCTGCAAAATGCTACAGAATATTTGGAGAGTAGCGCGTAGAGGGGAGGGGGGGACGTGCAGTGTAAATTAACGAAAGTCGGTCAACACAGATATGGCCGCACTTCATCGAAGTCCAATGTGACCGCGCGCAACTGTGTCCTTTTCGGCTTCAGAGCATTTCCGAGCAATTCAGTTAACTCCCGCCGACATCAACGCATAGATTGACACCAAAAGTGATGACACTGATTACGTCTTGTACTAAAAGTCCTCAAAAATGTCGATAGAACTATTCTACAAATTGTACATTGTATGATGAAGCCACACATTCATGCTAATAATTTAAAATAACAGAAATGCTTCAATGTACACGTGCAACGTTAACGAAACGGAAAATCTGTCTTCTGTGATGAGAACACACGCGCAACATCCCACAAGACAGCCACCTTCAATGTGTCTGTGCACATAAATCCATATACGATGTACAGATGTTTATGGGAGAATAATAAGACGGCGAGGTGTGAACTGGAATCAAACAGCTCCGATTAAGGGAAGGTGGCGGGCTCTTATGAATGCGGTAATGAACCTCCGAGTTACACAAAATCGGAAATCAATATTTTAATTAAACTACTTAAATACTTATAACCAAAAAGAGACAACATCCCGGTCTGAAGTCCGTAGCCTGGTCACTATACAGAGGTGTCCTGGCTGCCTTAAGTACCGATACATATTATCCAGCCACACGTCCGCATTTCCCCACAGCTGCCATAATGCGTCATGCTTCATTGCGGACACCAGCTCAGTAGATCAACCTCACTCGTAACACAGCATCCCAGCTGAACGAGTTTATACGAAGCATTATCGAGTTGATGAAAGGCTCTCGGGTTTCAAGCCGCATCAGGTGGCAACGTTTCGAGACCAATCTCTGTTCTCATCCTCGGGGCTGCTGGGTAACAAATCCGACTGTTTGTTGTGCGCTCGCTCAGACTCGATGATGAGAAAACCTCAAATTCTACAAGATATGGCGTGTTCACCGTTCAGACACGTGACGCGGCTTGTAACCCGAGAGCCTTTTATCAACTTCAGTTGCCGCGAAAGCTTCACTCTATACATTATCGAGTTATTCGAGCAGAGTAATAAATAAATGAGCGTGAACACAGGTCTTCTGAGCACAATACACCACTTTCCTCGCGCCGTGTTTTGAAAAATTCTAAACGTTATAATCCAATTTTCCGCCACATCCTCCTCTGCCTGAAAGTTTGTTCACTTCTAGGTAAACCACTTTAACGCTTTCCTCTTTTCCAGTTCCACGGGTTCCGTCATAACACAACAAACAGCAATGCTCTACCAATGACGTCACTGACATAGAAAGATGGAATGTCTTCCTAACGCCAACTTAACACCTACAATCTCCTTAAGAACGAAGGCTTTAGATGAACAAAACTTCTTTTTAATAGCAAGTATACCGCCACGGTGGTCTAGCGGTTAGAACGCTGGCCTTGTAATCCTGGGGGCCTCGGGTTCGATTCCCGGCGGTGCCCGAATTTATAACTTGTGTTGGGCAAGGCCGTGGTCTAGGAAACACGGAGTTTTCCTCCGTGGCATCCCAACAATTACTCCATTCACACACAGAAGAAGGCAATGGCAAACCACTTCTGGATCATCTGCCAAGAACGTATATGAACAGGTCCCAATCCG